ACCTCTCTTCGTTGTTTGTAACCATATCTCCATATCTCCGGTATAGACGTTGCGTCATTCCGATTGTATTTGTGCGGTGTTGAAGTGATTAATCACCTTAAAATATTTCTTTGTTTATCGATTCAACACAGCACACATGTAATCGGAATAACGCAACGCCTATACTGGAAATACTGAGATATGGCAACGAACAACAAAGAGAGGTTAGACAGACCGAAAGAGGGAATATATATATATATATATATATATATATATAAATGGACGCACATACATTGGGAGGGCTTATCGATCTCTGCAAGTAAGGGCTTCAGAGCATATTCCTAAATGGCTCCAGAAAGAAATGGAATCTTTAGAACCTATTAACGGTGAGAACAGGAGACATATTGTGAGACATATTATACAGACAGGACATAAAATTGACGTTAACAGATCATTTAAATCTATCTATAAAACGTGTTTGGGGCGTATCCTAAAGTTTGTGGAAGCCCTAGCAATTAGAAAGTTTAAGCCAACTTTATGCGTTCAAAAACAATTCGTCATCACATTAAAACTTCCTTGGTAGATTTTGTTTTGATATCATAGAAGATGTACTACTGTAACAACAGAAGACAAGGGCCAGGCAACAGATCGTTTTATTATGAAAATCAACATGTATTTATATATATTTCACATACATTATTATAGCTTATGCAAGTAGACAACGCAGGCTTCTGATTGGTTGCTTCGGGATTCCTCGAAAAATAGAGTTCTCTATCTGCGAATCATATTTTGCCACATTAAGTCTCCTGTGATTGGTTGTTGAATCAGTCTTGCTCATATTTTCTCACGGCCTGCTCTCACCACACTACTACCTCTGCTATTCGGTTTAGTGGTCTTCATTGTTATTTTGACCTTGAATATGTCATGTCTATTTTCCTACCTCTTACCTCTTTATTAATTTCATATATATTCCTATGACAAGTCCGTGTGTGATCAGATTGTTCGAAATGTGTTACGCAAATACATTACACGATTCAGACAAATAACGTCTTCTTATTGCCTTATCTGAAAATATGTATATTCGTATTTGTCTACTGCACACAGCTGAGGCATTCGAAAGATGTTCGTACAGCCATTATCTCTCCCTTGGCCTATTAAGACATAACCAAATAATAACTTCTACGTCACTCCTTGCTTTTATTTTCAACCCCCTTTCTTATCATCCCTTAATCTTATCACATCTTCATTAAAAACGTGTTTCATTTACTCCCCTTACAATCTAGCCTTACTTAATCGGTTCATCTGTTTTTACTAGCCTTTATCGACTACGTCCACCTGAACAATTATTTGTTTAATCATACTGTTTTTCGTGTTATCACAAATTGCCTCACTTTTCCACCCTTAATATTGATAAAACCATTATTATTATTATCACTATTATAACTAATTGCTCAATTTATATGCACTATCGTATTATCCTATAGACAAAACACCATGATTGTTTTATATTTGAATTTTTATTTGTAAACTTATATATGTTAGAGTTAAGCCTGATGTGATCTAATTGAAAACAATATTGTTCGCTTAAATGTGTTGTTCTAAATATAAGTATAAGACAAACTGTGATTAAATTGATATAATTATGATTGGCGTGCGTCGGTGGCATAGCGGTTAGGACGCTCGCTAACCATGCACATGGTCCGGGGTTCGATCCCCGGCCACTGGACGCACCTTTTTACCTTGCTGAGTCAGAAATAATACTGGTAAAGAGGAAAGGTTGGGCATGAGGCTAGCAACACCATCCTGTAAAATAAACAGTGCTACAGAAACTTCAAGCCACTAGCTTGAAGCCCTATGTTCCACTGAGGAACGTGAAGGGAAAAAATAAATGACTGGCAATTATTTATGCTGGAAACCTTGTCATCCAGTTGTTAATACTGCATCACTGTGTGATTATTAAATTAAACTTATCCAATACGGGATTACATTCTATCACAGTGCCCAAGTTCTTCAATTACATTGTTGCTTCAGGAAACATCTTTTACCGCTACGTCTCCACTGAAGTTTCAGCTGATGTATACTGTTTACTTTGGGATTGAAGAGTATTCTCTCCTAATTCTTTGTCAAACTTGTGGTTTTCTCTGCAATGTCCGTCCTTATGGATATTTTTCATGATTTGAAATCGATATACTCCAGTCTACACAACGTCTTGGATGGAAATATAAGTATAAAACTTGGCCACTGTGGTTCTTCTGATTTGACTGGTGGTAATAATATCTTCCATATTTCTGGTATTTGCATTGAGTTATTTCTGTTGCATGTATTGGGTGTAGACTCAATGAACAGGGATTCAGTAATCAACCTGTCTCTCTCCACCTACATAGATTACTTCTTAGAATTTTAGCCCTCTCCCACCCTATTGTGTCGTTGTAGTTAATGCATGTAGTATAATTGCTGAGCTTTTTTCTAAATTAAAATACAACTACACAATAGGGTGGGAGAGGGTTAAGATTCTAAGAAGTAATCTATGTAGGTGGAGAGAGAGATTGGTTACTGAATCCTACCTGGTTCATTGAGTCTACACCCAACACATGCAACGGAAATGACTCAATGCAAATACCAGAAGTATGGAAGATATTATTACCCCCAGTCAAATAGGAATTTTGGATTGTAGTTACTTAACTACACGTGTTAACTATCATTAACCAGACATCATTGCATACAAATATAAATAATCTGATTTATTGTGTCAAATAAACCATTCACTTACCCTTAGACATGCGTACTGTCCTGTTATTTACAGTTTCCTTAAGATAACGTTCGAATACAACAGAGTATTATAGTAGAAAAGCATGTATTAGTGGTACCAAATATCAACGACACTTTATGATATTTTCAAGTTATTCAAACCAGGTAAACTTGTACATTTGACTATCTGAGCTGAAATGGTCTTTTAAACTCCTTATTAGTTTAGCTATTCAATGGTACTAGATATACTGCGGTTTATCTAGTGAGGCCCATAACAGATATTTAGTTGAGATGTATTTATTATTCACGCCTACAAGATATCAAATATTTGGTCCATAATACCTTTTAGATTTCAGTGCTTATTTTATTTAGACGTTATGTTTGAATTTTGAATTTTTATTTAGATGGACATGCATTTCTGGGCAGCACAATATATAGTAACCATCCACCACTTAGCTGCAAGTTACGCGACCAGACATCGTCAAAGCATCTGCACAAGGAGCCGACATGTCAACCTGAGACCAAACACTTCAGTTCAATCAATGGACGAGAAAATGTAAAATTGAATTAAATAATTTATAAGACCCGTTGCACAAGAGGTGCCTCTCGTGGCCTAAGTAGTCTAGTAGGTAACGCTTGGCGTTTCAAACTATTGCCACTGGATTTGAGCCCCGGTGGGAACATCAACAGTTACCGGAGAGTGCGTGTTTATCCAGTGATGAGTCCTAATTAGGACGAAATGCACACCCTAGATTACAATTCTTGTCACCACCCACCAATTGACTTCGAACAGGTCGAATTTTTCACTAATAATAATATACTATCAACAAGAATTATTAAGTAGTTTGTAAATAATGCAAAATTTAAATGCACCCCATCCAATAACGATAAAGTAAGCCATATTGTAGTGTAAGCGTATGTATAAAAGTGAAAAGTGCTATTAAAAAGGTTTGAGAAAAATTAAAATTATGACATGATAAAATACTCAGAATAATCTTATAACGATTAATTTCAGTGTGGATTTTGTCATGAACCGGAATCAGTTAAACAGATCACTCAAAACTACCGAGCGCTGGACAGTATTTCGTCCTAGTTTAGGGCTCTTCATGAGTAAACACTCAAGAGTCCACCAAGTATCGAACCAGAGACCCTCAGGTTAGGAGACCAAGTTGGCTGATAATTTAGTTAATTGTAATGAAATTCAGTGATGTGTAAATTCTAAATTTTGTGAACTCGTGATGTAATACCACAACCGTACCACTGAAGATGACTTCGGTGTACAGTTTGAGGTCATCCCTGTAGCAGTCATTTAGGGGTTGGAGATGGATATTTAGATTAGGAGATTTTGTAGGGATCTGGTGTAATTTCACTTTGGATTGCATCGCGAAAAGGTATCAGTTAGGGATCATTACAAACTAGGATAAAATAGCTGTCCAGTATTCCCTGGTTTTCAATAATCCCTAACTCATCTTTGTTTGTGAAAAAAATCTACCATGAAAATAATGGGTTTCATGCTAAATGAAACGCTTAAGACTAACACATAAGAGCTGCACAGCATCCGTGGCACACATACACTGAAAATCTAATGTCAAAAAGAGCTTTTAAAAGGTGTACTTCATTTATACCAAAGCTAACTAATAACATATAACCAAGAATTGAAAAAAAATCTCGGGAATATTGCACTATATTCACATCTAGGATGCGATATTACTTTTGACCAAACTCTTCAACAGAGACTATCGTAGAGTTCAGTCGACTTTTCAAAGCCTAGTTTGTTAGGGATATATGCCAGCCTTTTTAACAGTGACTGTATAAACAGATAGGGAAGTCAAATCCCTGAGGGATTTCACAGTCCGACACTGAACCCTAAGGATTACAGAAAAGTGACATAGATTCGGAAGTGTACTTATTATGATACTACTAAATAGTCCAAGGTGGAATACAAGGTTCAAACGTGGAACCCTCAGTCATTTGGTTGAAATGGAGTGCTTTTATAACAACGAACCACATTTCCACTGTACGAAGCCTATTCTAAAATCAAATAACCTAGTGTTAATATATCCGAATACAGCTTTGGATGACTCAAATTTGAATCTACAGGTGGATATAAGGTCGTAGATATGCTGCGGTGGTGATTAGTGCCATAGTAAGTGCGAAGCCTAAGTCGATGGCATCCAGCTAATTGCCTCCAGCCGTCTAATAAGATAATCGAGGCTATAAAAACAAAAAATTGCAATAAAACGGAAATTATATAGACTACTGGGCTAATTTACCTTCCACTGTCAGGTTCTTTGTATTCATCCTCTTTCTTCGTATTATTTGTACTTTCACACTGATCTGAAATCAATAGCAGTATGCAGTATTTAGTTCTTATAATCTTTAAGAAAAGAAAAATCGCCTACACATGTTAGTAACTTTAAAGAGTAGTCTTATTATTATTATTTATATGTTTGCTTAGGTTGGATGACAGTTACTCATTGAATTTTAGTGGTAACTTATTTAATCAATCAATCAATCAACAATCAATCGAGAGAAAAATATATAAAAATGGGATTACAAAAATCTTTGCCTGTTCATTATTTCATTAGATATGTTATTCAGCGAAGGATAAGCAACAAGGAACCCTGGCAACAAACCAATCAAGGAAGGAGCTGTCGCCTAAAGTAGATTCAGAAGGAGGTCAGGCTGGGTTCGACTTACACTTAGGAGACTGTTGACTGACATAATACGTTGGGCAGGCCCTTGAGTAGGAACCTAACAGGAAGTGACAGATTGCATGTGAGGTGGAGGATGACATGGAGAAGATCGTAGGAGGAGGAAATGTAAGCTTACAGGTAATCTTGAAGCCAGTTGAAGAGGGCTGATGAGACCAGAGGGAAGCCCATGTTCCACTCGGAACCAATTGGATGGATAAGCATATATATATATATCCAAAGGAAGGAAAGTGTCAATCATACAACGTTATGCACGCACAAACAACGCAGACCTCGAAAAGAAAGAAGAACTCTACAGACAGCTACAGGCATCAATGGACAATACTCCAGCTGGTGGCATTAAAATACTAATGGGAGACATGAACGCCAAACTGGGACCAGACAACACTGGAAGAGAACTCATCATGGGTAGAGAAAATGGAGAACTCTTCGCCGACTTCTGCGCCTTCAACGAACTAGTCATTGGTTGCAGCGTATACAAACACAAAGATATCCACAAGGCTACATGGCTGTCACTAGACGGAAGAACAAAATACCAAGTTGACTTCATCTCAATACTGCCCAAGGAAGTGGAGACGCAGCTTACTGAACACAAAAGTAAGAAGAGGTGCAGACGTAGGCTTAGACCACTATCTCGTACAAGGGACAATCCAAATCAAATTAAAAACTTTCAAAGAAACAGGAGCTGCAGATAGACCACAAGCTAAGTTCAACACTCAAAAACTGTAGGACCAGGATACAAAGGACATTTTTACTGGAATCATAGGGAAAAGGGCGGACAAACATATCAACAGTAGCGAAGAGACCAGCGTTGAAAAGCACTGGAACAACCTGAAAGCGATGTGGAGTCAAACCTGCATGGATTTCTGGGCAGAAAGAAGAGACAGGACAAGCAGTGGCTCACTACGGACACTTGGAAACTGGTAGAAGAGAGGAAAATGGTGAAACAAAAAATTATCCAGTGCATCGAAGAGCAACAAAAACAGGAGTTGAATGCAAGCTACAATACGCTGAACAAAAGAGTGAAGAAGAGTGCCAGGTAAGACAAATAATAATAATATTATAGTATTATGCTCTATCAGCCAATCCAAACTGGATAAGTACTCTACTGATGTCAAATCCAACTTCGTTTATAAATTTGTATGCAATTACGGGAGTAGGTACGTTCGAAAGACGGAAAGAAGAACTTCCATCCGGTTTTCACAGTATATCCTAAGAAATTTATGTCTAAAAGAAAACAGATATTCACAAAGTACAATTACCAGACATCTTGTGGATACGGATTTTTTTCGTTAAGGTTTCCACTTTCTTTAAAATATTAAATTTACAGAGGACAACAAATTTACTACGATTTGCTGAAGCAATAATTGCAATCAAATTTCTCACACCAAATTTATGCATACAGAAAGAGAGTGTTGTCAATCTATCAATCGACGGGAAAATCAAAAATTCAATTCAATAATTAATATGACCCGTTGCACAAGAGGTGGCTCTCGTGGCCCAAGTGGTCTAGTGGATAACGCTTTGGCGTTTGAAACTATGGGTACTGGGTTCGAGCCTCAGTGGGAACATCATCACTCACTGAGAAATGCAGGTACATCCAGCTGACGAGTCCCAAATAGGACGAAATGCGCATCCTGGATTCCACTGCTAGCCACCATCCACCAATTGTATACTAATCTATCAGTCTCTTGGTAATTGCATTTTGACTACTTTAACCAGTCATCCGTGTTAGTGATTTCAGCTCACTGGACAAATTTCAATCTAATGAACTATAACTGTCTTGAGCTGCTATATGAACTTATAAGCTAACATTGTTGATTAGATTATTCTGTGTATTCTGTCTTCTCCCTTCTCCCCAATTTTCTACTCTGAAGGCATATGAACACTAATGGTAACTTAAACTAAAAATTGTAATTATAAATTTCCAGACCGTGGATGTTACAAATTTCCTGGAATAATTTGAGCGCCGTGTCAGATTGAATCATTATATAGAGGATTACATTCACATAAAGAAAGGTTGACTCCTGTGGCCTTGCACATTTTAATCAGATCAAATGCAGTAAGCAGAAGAGAAGGCATAAACTTCTCACTTGTTTGGCAGACTCTAATGAAGCAAGACAGATGTAAAAACAACAAAAACCTGTGTAAACCTCTGTGATCTCTGAAAATATTTTTATGTTTATCACATGTTAGTTGGTATCTTTTCCATATGACAGATAACACGTTCACACCTACTCATACGGACAAATATGAACGTATGACAATTTGACATTAGCCATTACAAATACCATGTGATGACTGCTTACATTTTTCTATTGGTACAAATATCTATTGGCAAATGGCCTTCAAATAAACTGACTTCAATTTATGTGAAAAAAAAAATTTTTGACTATATATTTTGATGATTCATAAAATCCGAATTAATATTACTGAAGAAGCTGTGGCTTAGACAGCGAAACGTTGAGAAAAATCCTGTTTTAATTTTTTTCTTAAACACGCTGGGATTATTTTAAGTAATTTATAAAAATTGTAGTGTTTTCATTTTATAATGTTTTCTCGACTACTACTCAAACATTCAAGAATGTTTGATTGGACACTAGTAACTAGTGTGATGTGTCTAGTCCTTTCTTTGGTGCAGACTGAGTTCTACTAGTCAGGTTTGTAATGTGGCCACCATTCTAGGTATATCGCCATCATGGTGCATATTGATTTGATGATATTAGATTATTTATTATTATTATTGTTCCCTTGGGTTCCTAGTGGAATATAGGGCTTCAACTGCACGTCTCCACTTGCTTCTGTCTTCCTTCTACTGTACTTTTCACCTGCTTCCAGGTTAGTCTTCACCCGGTCTCCTCCATGTCACCCTCACACTGACGTCCCACTCGCCGCTTTCCTTTCGGCCTGGTTCCACTCGAGAAATGTCCTGACGCGCGCGAGATGTCACCCAGCGGCCTCCTCACCGAGCGAGTGTCCGACCCATCTTCACTTTCTCCTGCATGTTTGTTGGGCGATTGCTTCTTGTTTTGTTTGTTTGTTTGTCCCACGTCATAGTTTCTTGTTGGTGATTCTTTCCGACCTCCCGGCCCGGCCACCTGATCTTCAGTATAGATCCAGAAAAGACAGTTGTTGATAAAGGTAACGTCTGCAACAGGCTGTTGAAAATATTCTTTGTGACCCACCCGCCAAGTTTCTGATCCGATCCGTATAGAAGAACTGACTGACTTGACGTTTGTATTGAAAATCCGACTGAATTTTGTTGTTGATCCTGGCTGAGTGACGAAGATTTCCAGATTGGTTTCAGGTTGATGATTATATTATATAGTTGGAGGAAATCGAAAGAAAGCCTTGGTCTAGACACGTCACACCAGTTACTAGTGTTCAATCGAAATACCCACTACAGTCCTACAGGTGGTCAATCGCCAGCCCAAATAGCTCAGTGGTAACGTCTCTGACGGTGGAACTCACTGGGTGACGTGGGTTCGAAGCTCAGAAGGGATATGAGCTCCTCCGAGGATGAAGCTGCTAGCCTCATGTCCAACCTTCTCTCTTTACCAGTCTTATTACTGGCTTATCGAGGTAAAGGAGTGCGGCGTCCGCTGGAGATCAAACCCTGGACCATGTGAAGCCTGGTCGGCGAGCACTCTAAAGCTGTGCCACCTAGTTATATGTAAATCAAGCCCATTATCGTCAGACTTTTAAAAACATTTGCCACCGTTCGTTCACGTGTTATGTTAAAATCAATTAATCCTTAAGACTACCGATTATCAACCTAGTGCTGGCGCAATTTCGACATCTTAACTACAAATGGAGTATTGGAGGATGAATTCAGTGCCGGTTGATGCATCCAACATCCTCTGACTGATGACCATTACAGTTCATGATTGGTTTTATCTTGAAATCAACCAAACAGTACACAAAATAACAACGTTCTCTCAATTCAACGGCCAAATATATGAACAAGTCAAAGGAACACCCATGGAATCGCCAATATCAGGTTTGATTGCAGAAGCAGTGATGCAAAGGTTCGAAAACATAATCCCACCAAAGATAAAAACCCAAGATTTGGATACGTTACGTAGACGACACATTTGTAATAATCAAAAGAAACGAATTAGATAAAACTCACAACTTAATAAACAACGTCTTCAACGATATCAAATTCACAAGAGAAGAGGAATCAGAGAACGAAATCCCATTTTTGGACGTTTTAGTCAAGCGAACAACCACAGGGAAATTAGAAACTCAAGTTTATAGAAAATTAACTCACACAGACCAAATATTGAATTACAACAGTAACAATCTAATAATTCTCAAAAGGAATTGAATACAAACACTATCCAGAGGGCAAGGACTCATTGCAGCACTCCTACCTTAAGGAAAATTGAAGAAAAATATCTCATGAACGTCTTCCAAAAGAATGGATATCCACGAAATTTCATGAAAAGACATATATCCCAAAGCCAACCCATCAAACCAAAAGCCTCCAAAGAAAACACAGGGATAATCGCCCTACCATATATAAAAGATATCTCAGAAATCACTAGAAGACTCTTCAAACCTTTAGGAATTGACGTCGCATACAAACCAATAAAATCACTTCACTCAATTCTGTGTCAACCGAAAGACTCAACAGCGAAAGAAGATAAAACCAACATCATCTACAAAATAAATTTTAACAACTGCGAAAAACACTACATTGGCCAAAGTGGACGTCCCCTTCGTCTTCGTATCCACGAACATAAGCTAACCGTCAAAAGACATGATATCCACTCCCGCATATCTCTCACTACATACAGACAACCATGGACATCAATTCGACTGGGACAACCAGAGTTCAAATATTAGACAGAGGAAACACAAGAATGCTAGAGAATTTTTAGAAGGCTGTCTGGTATTCCAGTGAATAATCAATCAATAGACACATCGAGATAGACAAAATTTATCAACCGATAAGAAAGAAACCTGACACACACACACACACAAAGGGTCAAAGTTCAAGTCAAAGAAACAATCAGTTCCAATACAAGTAACCTAGAAGGTGTGAAAACACAGGAGGACAACCAATCCCGTCCAAGGTCACCAGGAGAGATGATTAATAAACTCTTGGAGAAATCTGAAAGCTCACTTCATCGAAATGAAGTGTGCGCTGAAGATGTCACCTAGTAGGGCGATGAAGGCTTCGAAAATTAACTATCCAGCTCAAAGGACACAACCACATCAAAATCATCCACCTGAGCTACAAATCTTCTCTATCATGTATACACAAAATAACTAATTTAAAATAAAGAAAACATTAGTAGAAATATATCTTACCTGATTCTTTATTAACACTTGAATATTTCGACCATGAATAAGATCGCATTTTACCTTTATTTTCAAAAGAGGAAGTAGATTTCTCTAGTACAACTTGTTCCGTGATATACTTCAGCCTTATACCATCAGGATAATAATAATTATTGTTATTCGGATTATGAAGTGTAATCAAATTACTACTATAGAATTTTGGTCGTTCACTCATTGATGATAACGATGATAATATTGATATCGGTGACAGTGATGGAATTTTATCTCCAAGACAGTTGACTTCGCTTTGATCTAGAAGATTGTCTAATTGATTGCTTGTTGAACTTTTAGTTAACTTTCTAGGAGTTTCATTCTCTACAGTACCATATTCACTTTGTTCATATCTACTGCGTAAAGTGGATAATTGTCTTAGTGTCAACGGTGGTGAAGTGTTTGAATTCGGTCGACTCACTGGTAGACGATGGTTAAATGATTGAGGTGGTGAACAATGAGAACACTGGAAGTGTGCTGTTGAATTTATTGACTGTTTTATGGGAAGTGGGTCAGTAGGTGTTGTGTTTGGTATGTAATCCCTAGTGTATAACTCCTCACTATTATTATTATTATTTCATTTTATCGTAGTTATGATTGTTACTATCATTATTATGGATATTGATACCGTCTCCCAGCTTGTCTGTATGATATGATGAACCAGGTGAAACCTTCTTTTCGGTATATGACTGATTAGGACTATCTGCACTTGAATGATTTGACCTGTTATCATATGGACGAACATGGTAACAACAAGTGAAGTGGGATGATGGACGTGATCCTACAGAAGAATGATGTTGTCTTCGTCTCTTTTCTTTAGCTTCAATTTCAATCTCACGAGATACTGTTGCATATAGGGTTCGAGCTAGAAGTTCAGTTTCTTTTAATTCTTTTGTATTATCTACACAAAAGGTAGTAATAAAAAACACAATGAAAATCTACAAATTCTCTTATACGAATTTCCAGAGAAGAAGAAGAATAAATATTATTTGTATTATTATTATTCTCTTAGGTCCAGGGTGGAATATAGGGGTTCAGAGGAACGTCTAGATTTCAATTTCTCCTCTGCGAGTCTTCAGCTGTCTGCATGATTGACTGTAGGCTTTCATCTCCTCATTATACTATCCCTTCCATGTCGACCTCAGACCCATATAAAACTGGTCGCCCAATTCATTATTTCTCATTCGATTAAACTTGAGGGTCTGGCCAGCTCGTCATGTCACCTAAAAGTCTTCTCAGAGTATGTCTTATCCATCTTCAGGCAGCAGCTGTTGATGAAAGTCTAGGGCAGCCTGTTAGGACTACTCCACATGACGCACAGGTTAAATCTGTGAGGCGTACAGAAGGCACTGACTTGACATTAATGTAGAAAATTTGAAATTTTTTCACACGCTTAGTTCAGTAGATTTTCACACTAATTTCAGAATAATGAAAGCGTCGCGTGGATAGCTTTGACACCATCGTCTCTGGCGTATGCAGTTGAAAAAATATTTCTATGATACGTGAAGGAGATGACCTCGTTTAGATTCAAAATAACACCGATTTTGTTTTATAGTATTATATCACCTGTATACAACATGAAATATCCAATAAAAAAAGAATAGTATCATGATTTTCACATACGTCTGTCTATCTCTCCTGCAGTAAGAACGTGAAATAAAGCCATAAAGTATTACAAAATGAATTTTTTTATTTCATTCCATTTCCAGTGGAATATAAGGCCTCAAGTCTGAACTTTAAAGTTCCAGTAGCGGTGGTTATATTTCTTTTTTGATGGGATGGTGTGTTGCCAGTCTTATGCCCATCGTTCCCTGTTCACTGGGCTTACTACTTACTGGCTAAGCGAAGTTCATCAAAGCCCCCATTGCGCAAATGATGCACATTTCAATATATATATATATATATATATAATGGAACCAGATTAATATATGTGTAAAACTTAGGTACTGTGGTTGTAAGTAATTCCATATAAGCTTGTTTACTAGATGTATCACACAGTGAGGGAAACTGTATTATTTACTCGATGACGTTTCGAACAAAATTTATTGCTCATAACCATATCATTAATTATAATCACACAACTTCAAAACTTGAGTTTTATAGGTTCCTGTGTTCTCTCCTACTTGTCGTCCTTGGGGTAGTAGAATTTTCCAGATATCCGAGTGGACAGGTATTGAATCATTCCTATTACATGTATTTGCAGTTGATTCGATAAACAAGTCTTCTGTTATCAATCGCTCCCTCCACCCTGTGACATTACATTTTAAAACTTTCATCCTATCCCATCCATCCTATTGTGTGGTTGTGTGTAACTGCATGCGATGAGTGCTGTAGCTGAACTATTCTCTAGATTTCTCATTTTATTCAGGTCAGCTAATCTACATTTTTATGCTCCGCTAATCCTAGTCATTCATGTATTCGACCTGACAATCATTCCAGCAGGGTATTAGATAGACTAATGTGTTTTGTTTTAAAGGCTCCAAAGGATTGATCCTTTAACCGACAAGACTTGTTTCTAATTGAGTTTGTGGTTGGTTTGAATGCCAGTCACTTTTATTCCTGCCTTGTTAAGAATTCTGTGTAAGCTGGTTTCCGAGGTTTTTTCCTTGTATGGAATTACTACTGATGATTTAGATTCTTTATTGTTGTTGTTGGCATTATCCTGTGCATGTTACACACACATGTCGTCAATAATATTATTATTATCGTTGCTATCATTATTTATTTCATTTTTACATTTCTATTCATACTTTTTGACTAATTTATTAGGGTAATTATTAAGTTTCAAAGCTTCTCTTATATATCTCACTGATAGTAGTGATAGTGATAGTAATAATAAAAATAATGATAGTAATAACTGTAATAATAATAGTAATATTAGTGACGACATGTGTGTGTAACATGCACAGGATAATGTCAACAACAACAATGAAGAATCTAAATCATCAGTAGTAATTCCATACAAGGAAAAAACCTCGGAAACCAGCTTACACAGAATTCTTAACAAGGCAGGAATAAAAGTGACTGGCATTCAAACCAACCACAAACTCAATTAGAAACAAGTCTTGTCGGTTAAAAGATCAATCCTTTGGAGCCTTTAAAACAAAACACATTAGTCTATCTAATACCCTGCTGGAATGATTGTCAGATCGAATACATGAATGACTAGGATTAGCGGGGAATAAAAATGTAGATTAGCTGACCTGAATAAAATGAGAAATCTAGAGAATAGTTCAGCTACAGCACTCATCGCATGCAGTTACACACAACCACACAATAGGATGGATGGGATAGGATGAAAGTTTTAAAATGTAATGTCACAGGGTGGAGGGAGCGATTGATAACAGAAGCTTTGTTTATCGAATCGACTGCAAATACATGTAATAGGAATGATTCAGTACTTGTCCGAGATATTTGGAAAATTCTACTACCCCAAGGACGACAAGTAGGAGAGAACACAGGAACCTATAAAACTCAAGTTTTGACGTTGTGTGATTATAATTAATGATATGGTTATGAACAATAAATTTTGTTGGGAACGTCGTCATCGAGTAAATAATACAGTTTCCCTCACTGTGTGATACGTCTAATAAACAGACCAATATGGAATAACAGAACCAGACATAATGGATAGGAGTGAAAGGAATTCAGAAGACTGAGTAAATCAAAATTTGGTGTGTAAGAAATTCAGTGTGAATAGATAATGACCTGATACAGTGTATGTAGAGATAGCTAAGTTTGAAAATGACTCCATCTATGGGAAGTAGAAGAATTAAAGGTAATCAGATTAGCGTGGGTACACTGACACATACATAAATCCTTAGCTAAAGGATATAAGGTATTTCACTAAGTCATTCGAGTACACAAAACTGTCAGTGAATTAGAATTTAAGCATACTGGTCCTAATGTGGAAATACCGGGCAAAATATATACAGAAGGAAATAGAGATGGATTGGATATCTACTAAGGAGACCGTTGAGTGACACCACGCGCTAGATAAATCTTTAATTGGAATCCGAATGGAAGGCAAACGACGACTTAGGCATCCAAGGGATGATATGACGATAAAATGAAAGGTCATGGAGAATAAGGGGATAGCTAAAACGAACTACAGAGAGCAGAATGAAATGCCAGTGCTATGCTGAAGCTCTATGTTCAAATAGGAACCCTAAGGACAAATAATAATAATGGTAATAATATAATTCCGACGTATTTGAATAGCGTGGCAGTATGCCTTATATGATTAGCCGTCTATTTTTCACAATTTAATTATTAATCTATTCAATCGCATTTATTTTCAGTAAACAACGAATTATCTGGTATGCGTATCCCGGTGAATAAAGTGACGGTGACAGTGGATGCTGGGAATGAAATTGTAGGGAAGTACAATGTTGAATTATAAATACAGTTTGAAACTACAAAATAAGTAATGTAAAACAAAGTTATTCTCTCTTCAAGACTCTTTTATGTCTCAAGGGACACTGTAAATTAAAACGCAACAGACAGCTTTTCTATAATGGTGTATAGTTCATAAGTAGCGTACACCTACGACCTCCCGATGGGTTATGAGTTCAATAACTGATGTTGATTTGTGGTGAAGTCTATCTTGAAAGTTATATGCCTTCTGAAAGTTGAAACTGTGTCAGTCAGTGACAAAGTCAAAGAATTTATCATAAGATTCTGGGAAGTTATAAAATCATATACTACGGGAATCGTTTATGCTTATTCAGTGAGTGTTAGATGATAATAAGGATGACTAAAAAATTCTTCGGGTTATTTTTAAAGTCTGTCAATTAAATCTGCTACGCCGGCACTAAACTAGCTTTCCTTACAGTGACTGGTATTGTGTCTAGGGACTTTTCTTCACTAAAGTGCTTGATTTCTGAAATTAGCTCCTCAGATTCAAATGAGCAATACTTTCCTTTAGAGATCCAGTTGTATCTTACTTAAAAAAAAGTCAGCAACTATGAGAGGTAATCCAAGTAGAATAGCTCTAGGGGCTGATCTATGATAATATTCGAGTCCAGACACAAGACACCACACAATTGTATAGCTTAAATTAGGGAAGGGGGGTATTACACAATCAAGCGATGAATCTTTAATAAACGAATCAAAATTAACTCATGGATTGAATTTTCACTACACTATATATTTGTATGAAAGTGTTTGGGTGGTTATTAATTGCCGGCTGCTCACACCAAGGAAGTTGATTTGCACTTCAAGTACCTGAAACACAAAGAGCATTAGTATTGTGTGTCTAAAGAGTTTAATTGGCATACATTCTGTTTAGAGTGGTTTCTCGAGCTGTGTTCATACGAAGATTTTATTGTTGGCTAGATACCGCCTCAGAATAAATCTGGATGTCCACTGTTAGAGCCGATCTTTTCTAACCATTCCCTTTCCAGAATGGGAAGGCAGCATAACTGGCTTTCCACTGTCACACCTATTTCCGTCAGCAGTACAACTTCATCCTTTGACACCCAACATGTTGTAAAGCAATCGCCTTACGATGGCAACTACTTTCAGTCTAATCTCTATCCAAATGACCCTGCTGACAAGACTGGACATGCAGGAACATTCATTACAACCAATATAGCTTTCTGAGATACTGCGGTATGCAAACCTGACCACAACGTTGCCGTAGCCCTTATCGGTTGTGAACACAATGCGTAGGCTCTTGTGTTGTAATCAATGCGCCATAAAATGCTTGTCATTAAAAAAAAATTATTTTGGTACAATCATTCTCGCTTTGAGTCAAAACTGCAATCCAACTGAAATAATGAAAAAGGGGCCTTTTAGACTAAAATTTCCGTCGTAAGAATGTAACAAACGACAGAAAGTATCTGGAGATTCCTTCGGTCATTGGAAATAAAATTAAGATGTCTGAAGTCGTCTAGTCAG